GTGTTACAAAATGGCGATACCAGACTTTGCTCTGTATTATTTGGCTAACTTTGTATCCCATTTGAACAATTCAATCTTTATAATGATACCAATACTTCATCAGTGGCCATGCGAAGTCAGATATTACTCATGATATTTTACTTCTATTCACCATGTTTGCAGAATCTTATCTTATTTGCTCAATATGGCAGTCACTGGAAACTCATTTTTTGCATCTTAAGAATTATTTCAAATCCTTGTTTAAGTCCTGAACAGATCAAGGTTCCCTACATTTATCCTAATCCTTCTTGAATTTTGTGTCACAAAAAGTGCACCAGTACATGATCACCCAAAATTAGTCCTAATTTATGTATGTGTGCAGGTTCAAACTTTCCATCAAGTGGTATTTTCTATGCTGAAACATGATTTCAAGAGTGTTGTCTACATACGAGAATGTTTGAAAATTGAAAACTAATCAGAAAATTGATATAAATTAATTAATTTTAGATGCGAGCAAAAGAGAAGATCATCAAAGCTTTGCGTGCCTGAAGATGTCAAACATTCAAAGCATTAATTTGCTGAAAACCTGAACCATCATCGCGGTACTAGTTCGGAATTTGTTTCCATATTAGCTGAATAAACTTCTGCATGTGAACTACTGCTATATTTTTGTTGGTCTTCTTCATCTTGATTTGTTGAGAAAGCAGGTGTACCTGGAGTAGGCACAATCTCATTCTCATTTTTGAGCATTGATGAGACCTCCAACATGGTAGGCCGATCTTCCCATCTTTCTTGGACACACAATAATGCGACTTGCATGTATCTCTTCAGTTTGCATGTTGTGCCAGCATTATTGAGTGATGGATCCATGAAGTTCTCGCAATGGTCATTTCTCCAAAGTTCATATGCCTGAGAAGATTTATAGTCATCTTTTTAGTTTATCCTCTCAAAATCATTCTAAGTATAAGCCATGATAAAGAGTTGTAAGTTACTTACATGTTCTAAAATAGTTAGATTTTTATCCACA